AATATCAAATGACAGGCGTCTTGATGGTTATCATTACCCCTTTAGTTGACTTCAGGCTTCACAGAGGGGAAGGAACATCAAATTGAAAAAAAGTCGAGAGGGAGGAACAGAAGAGTGTTTCAAAGACGTAAGAGACAAACACAAAGGTAGAACAAAGGTGAGGTGAATACTTTGGAAATAGTCGAATATGGCATAGAGTGAGGTGATGGTAGTTTGAAGTGAGAAGTCAACTTCCAGTTAATAGACTTTTTTGCCGTATGAATATACGTTTCCCAGGGTGCACCACGTGGAGGTAAGTCTATCGCACACCCTTACAACGTAAGATATAGACAGCGAGATAGCATTACCCTGTTAATTTTATCAATTATCCTTATCCATATGAAAATAGACTGTTGAAAACCAGTTACCTGAATGCATACGGTTGAAGGAGAATTGAATATTGCATCTGCTTTTAAATAACCAAGCTTGAACGTCATATTCCACATGGAGTATTCGACGCTATTTTCCTTGGTTTGCTGTAAATATTATTTCCCACTTAACAGGACAGATCTGATCATCATCTTTGTGGTTGTGTACGCACTTCACGTAACGTTCGACATATAATAGTGGGATGGCGCCTATGCCAGCATGTGAAATCTTTTGGTCACGTTCGGAGAAAAGTAATTTCTCCTAGCTCTTCAATAAATATTACTCTATAATCGTTAATTCTGCACATCACTTCATTCATTTGTTTATATAGGTATGTCAAATTTTTAAAAGCATTTTAATAGAATTCAGTTGATTTTCGTGGTTGAGTGTATTTGGCCATGGTTTGTTTCATTGATTTACCCCAATAGGAATCAAAAGTTAATTGTGCATTGCTATTTGATGTTCAAGTTTTTGCCAACTAGACCCTCCATTTGGAGTAACATCTTTTTTATAGACTGAAGTCTCACGAAAAGAATTTCATCTTAGACCGAAATATGTCATTATTTTCGCTTAGAAATGACTATCGAAACTTTTTCAAATATGCCTTGGAGATGCACCGAGCTGTAAGACCATTTTTTCCAACATTAGGCGAGATCTAGGAATTGGTACTCCTCGGTCATTTGTTCACTATTAGTACATTAAAACCATAAGGATTTGTAGTTTTGAATTATATTGGTGTTTGTTTTCAAGTAAAATAAAAACGACACCAAATACATTCAAAGCTTTGGAGTCATGGAAAGCTTTCAGCAAAATCTATTATTTTGACTTAATCATTTATTATCATTTCTTATTTCAGATCGAAGACGAAAATGATAATCGACCGATACCTGATGCTCCTGAATATCGTTTTCATGTCACAGAGAACACTCCGGGTCAAACCATCGTTGCTACTGTGACAGGTAGAGACAGAGATGCTACGGGAAACCGAATCAGTCACGAGATTGTTAGTGGTGATCCTGATGGATATTTTATCATCAATCCCTCTACAGGTTTGTTTACACATTCTCATTTATCGTAAATAATGAATTACAAATCCAAGTACTGTAATAATAATGTCCAAAGACGAGCATTGCTATCTTGCTGTGCAGAACCTACTGTATGGCTGGGATCACTTATTTCCCTTGGTATTCCTCTCAGACCCCATACTGTTGAATACCCTTCTCATTCAAATAACTCAACCACTTCGGATATCAAGCTAGTTGTGATGAGTAAATATTGACGCCAGTCACTTCATAGTTCAAGAATAACCAGTTGGTACAAGTTAGCTTTGTGTGTATCAACTTGGCAATAAACTTGTTTTTCTCTCAAAATCACCGACAGAAGTATGATTTGAGTCTCGAACGCGTTAGGACCATTCTTAATTTCGTCTGTCGTTAGACGAAAGTCTGAGTATTTAGAAGCCATTTCCTCTCGCACATTTCTGCCAATACCTAAACCAAACACACTACTTGTTTCTTTAAAACGTACAAAATAATGGGAACTGTGCTTCATAGGTGCACGTATACGCAAATTAATTGTGAATAATTATTCCCCTTTGTTTTGTTTTAAATCACCACCCAAACCCATTTAATGATCAAATTAACGGGTTAACTTCCTTGTGTGACAAGTGATTTCTTTACTTTGCACGAATTAACAGCCTCTCGTGAAAATGTGCATTTACGTAACTGTGGTTTGGCATGTAAAAATAAACTGATTGAAGCGTCATTCTATCATGCAAGTATTTCATTTCTTTGGTCTTAATCCCAGATAACTCGTTGCCCACGCCTTTCAGTGCGATTCTGTAAGTTCTTTATTTATGAATGGTTATGTAGATGAATGCAGCATAAATATTGAAATGCACTATCGAGCTATTCTTTTCTCTCTTGAGTAGAATTTAAATATCCCTTCCAGTATAGACTTCGTTTAATAATTGCAATCGATGTCGGTAAAAAGGCGCACGTTAAAATAATTAGATAATGAATGCACACGCGGAAATAAAAAGATATTCATACATGTATGCCAACTAATCTGAATGGCAAGGTCCATTTGAATACAGAGAACATTGGGTTGTGAACCCTCATCTAATGAGAATTTTTCATTTTGTAATCTCCAAATCATTTGATTTGACTCCTGGATTCCTGGGTGAGTTTGTGTCCTCGATATTCAGGATTTGGTAAGCAGTCAATTTTATAAAGCCGCTGGTAATCCCAATTGGATTCATTTGTGTCTTTTTCTTATAGCCGGTGGGCAGGTAGAACGCGCTAGCGAGAACGTTCTAAACGCATCAAATTCCAGCACATTTTACTCAAAATAAAGTCCATCAAATTTCTTTATCTTCCTTCTTGATGTCAACATTTGGATGTTGTTACATTTTATTAGAGAATGTATGGTTACATTCAGCGATAAATATGGATAGCGAGCTCAATTATCTCGGCAGGATGTAATGAATAGTTTTAAAATTTTTATAAAATTTTCGTAAGAGTCACCTATTTGACAAATCTTCCTCCCGAAGCTTTTAAGTGCGAATTGACTGTCATTTATGTAAATTTTTTTGTTCCTCAAATGAACTGCTTGCTCATTATAAGCTGATCGAATTATTTTATTACGTGTTAATCGTAAATCAACTGCCAAACAATCTTTATAAAGATAGAAATAAGGAGGAATTTCCATCATGAAATGCAGCAAATTAAAGATCTCCCCAGTGTCGATTCAATTTGTCCGATTAAACGGCTGTAAAGTTGGTGTTAGCTAAATGCGTTCTCGAACAGTTAGTTACGCAACTGAATTGCAATCTGAGTAAGCGACTTCTTTTACGTTTGCGCATTTCATTTCGCGTGTGAGTGTATTCGTTTAGATAAAAAAGTTGCTCGCATCTACGAACGTGGAAACTACCTGGACTCAGGTAGTTATAGCTCATCGAATACTTATTCTATAAGTATCAACCTAAAATAAATTAATACTATCAATCAACTTAATCCTCACCTAGCCGACTGTAAGAATATGCTACAATCACCTTAACAGGTTTTATCTTGCTGTTTAGACTTTTAGCATTAAGGTAATTTTAAGTGGAAAGACTCGACTTTCCTAAGTACTAAACGGTACATTCGGTAGGGGTTTACGTAAGCACGCAGTTAATTAATAATACAGGGGGGGGGGAACGAGTAGTTCACTTTGAATTTTAAGAACGGAAATGTTATGAAACCCGAATCATCACTTATTGTGCTTTTGGGCACCTTTGCATGCGGAAGAATTGTAAAGCCTTGGTTTATCGTGAGTTATAAAAATAGAACAGAAGAGTTATTTTCAATTACCTCCGCGTAGTATCAAGATAGTAGGGATGTATAGAGATTTTTCGTTGAATTATGCAGAAGGCGCAGAAAAAAATGAAATGAACTACTCTAATAATCACTTATTCGTCTTTCTATTCAGGAAAATCTTCTAACCATAGATTAATGTAAATATATTTCTCCTGAATAAAATAAACGGAACTCAATTTACGTATTTTACGCTAAAATAGGATAAATATTACTAGTGGCATGTTCAATTAAACGATTTGTTCCGATTTATTCTTGTCTTTTTATTATAGGACAAATCGCGACGACTGACCGCCCAATTGATCGAGAAACTTCCTTTATAAGCAACCAAGGTCTGCCCACTGATGAGGTTCATTTAGTCGTAAGTTATAGTAAATCTTTCGTAAAATTGTTTTCCATTATGAAACCTTTTTAGAACCTGTGAAGCCTAACGCAATAAATCAAATCAAAGTCGATGATTAACCAGGCTTTCCTGTAATCATAGTCATGCCATGGGAACAACGATCCAATCCCACGTACATATGGCTAGAACTGTGCATCAGCAAACAGTTGATAGGATGCCTACACCTTATCTTGGATATTTGTTTCACATGACTATTATCCACTTTTCATTTTTTTCTCAATTGATGGACAGAGAAAAGAAATCGACAGTAAAACCGACTCCCCGTTTTTTATTTGGCCCGGTTGTCATACACATTCCATCTCTGAATTTAAAAATTCGAATTTGGTTTTCTTCAGTTCTCATTCTATGTCTAGACCGGCTAGTCTCATGTTTCCCCTTTCTGTATTTGAATTCCCCACTGTGTGTCGGCATACTGCGGATTCTTACGAAAATTATGCTCAGCTCACTCGGAACACATTTGAGAGCTGTCATGTGTAACTCTAGGCCCAGATTCGACGATATAAGCCCTTGTGATACACATTCATAACAAAGCGTTCTTCATATATGCCCCTTTTAACGATAATTACTAATTAAGTGATTTGATATTGAAAACTCTCAAGTCAATTTTCAATCACCTTATTGTATTTAACTTTATAAAGAATCCCTTCAAGTAGACATATTTTACTCCCTTACCATTCAATTAAAATGACTCCTAAAGTTGGGTGGTTGCACCCGAATCTTGTGGAGATTTAAGTTGAATGATTAACTGCACGGGATTTCATACTTTGCAGATTAAACCTTCTTATTTAGCCCAAAATGAGTGATTTCGGTGTTTATTTGTCAATAGGATCGATTTCGTTCTTCTCCGCGCAGTTGCGATAAATTACCTAAGAAAGTGTGTTTCAATTGACCACTTTAACCACCACCGGGCATTTTGCATTTAGATTCAACTAACGGACAGTGGGGAGCCGAGTAAAACCACGGTGGTGCATGCGACGGCTGTGATCGATGACGTGAACGATAACACCCCGCAGTTTCTCTTCACCGGAACAGAGTGTGGCAGTCAAGTAGAGGAGGGAGAGGAGTGCTACCACTTCGTGCATCGTCTTAGCCCTCATGGTGAGTCCTAAATGAGCTTTAATTACTCGCTGCATCGAATAAGGTCACGTAACCCCTTCTGAGTGGATTAGCTTTTTCCTTCAGTACAAATTATGTGACATTTTGCATGTTATAGGTGGTGGTAGGAGTTTAGGTTAAGAGGTACGTTCAAATTCCCAGCTGTGTTCATTTGCCAATCGACCAGATGTTGAACAGAGGGTTTGGTCTTTCCCCTGCAGTCTCCCCCCTGGCTTTTTACCTTCTGTTGAAGTTTCCTAAACCCAATCTATCATTATGAATAATTATTATTTTCTATACCTTAAAACTATTGAAGGGGAATTTATTATGTAAATGGGTTGCATTGAGATATTTACGAGCTTTGGGTTCAGTTAAAGCTTTATTTCAAAGACTGCTGCTTTAAAAACCCCCTATATATGCCGTTTTTGTGACCGAAGTTTCGAAATCCTTTTTATTTCATTGTCATGTATTTTGTAACCAATTTATAATCCGCATTGTTGTCGAATGAAAGGCTAAAGTGTCAAGTAGTGATAAAAATGGGGCTGTCACCTGCTCATATTATTAATATTTTCATTCTCATCAAGGAAAATTGTCATCTAGTATATGTCATATAGTAACGTACTTTAAACAGTTTCTATTGCTGAATGCAGTTTACTGCATCCCAAACGGTTATCATCCAGGATGTTTGGGCATATTCACTACCATTATACTCCTGGCATACGCTTAACTTCTTATTGAGCCATTTCATTTGAGTCGCCTTTGCTCTGATAGAAAATAAAATTAAAATTTTCTGATTATTTCGCTTGGAGATTAGGTTAGAGTTAGCCAGATATTAATTGAATTCACATTAATTAATGGATAAAAGATGGAAGTGTGAGCATGCATTATTGAAACCGAAGTTGAGATTGTGAAAGTGTGATGATACTTATTTTCTTAATTATCTTCAAATTAAGAATAATTCAATTACCGAGTCTTCAATTTAACTTATACCCATTCAATTCAAATGAACTATGGAATAATATTTATACGCAAGGCAGATTTCACACTCGGAATCTAATTACTAACCTTCACTAAGCAAACACTTCTTGCAAATTTTTTCTTTCTCGCCTCTCCGAATGAGTGAATCATTTCGTCACATTTAAAACAACATTGCAAAAATACATTCCTTTTTTTGCCAACCTCATTATTTTCTCCGTGCAAGTCGTTTGTGGTTTTGGTGTTCTGTACTACAAAAAAAGGCAAATTGATTCGTAGAAGCAGTAAAGGTCTTGCCGCTTTTAATTGCCTTCTCTCCTCTCTTCTCTCCCCTCCCCCCCCCCCCCCCAATGTGATTTTATTAGTATATTTCATGGCTGGCACCTGTTTGAGTGTCAGGTCTTAACAACATTTCGGTTACTTTTTGGCTGTAGTGGCGGGTTCATGCCAACTGTTTTAAGAGAAACTCTTGAGACCTTTGACGATCGATTACATTAGTTCCATAAAAATTGTTGCATCAGATAGCTTTCGTAAACTACCGGACATTGTGTCTATCTATTGATTTTTTATGCTGAGGATATTGAAGAAATCAGTAGATTTTAGCGTATAGTAAATTATTTTCGAGTTTTCAGAGGAATTTCATAAATCTACTAATTCAGTTGATGGTCCTATTATCGATCGAATACTTATGATTGTAACTCTGCGCATTGAAGGGCGAAAAATGGGTGCATAAATCGGTTAGTAGTACTCTAGCTACTCGAAAAATTTCGTGATGGAAATACCATTGGACGTGGACTTCGAATATATCTATGTGTAGCTATGTGTGTCTACTGTGAATCGTTAATCTGTTACCTGATAAAACATCAGTCTTCATTGAGAGATGGGGAGTGGGTGGGGTTGATGGGTGTACAACAAGGTGTGTGCACATGTGTCCTTGTCCGAAGACATTTGTCTCGAAATTCGTCTGTTTGAATGAGGCATCCAGGACGGAGTTTCGGTATTCGATGGCCTTCTCTGCTGCGTCATCCATCAGAGAAAGGCACTTGGATTTGACCTAGGTGTAGGTTCCGTTTTTTATGAACGCTCATAAGATATTCCATAAATAGGCCATTCTTAAAGGTTAATTTGTTTGGTCAGTACATGTGTACTTTAAGGAGGTCAGCTTATCTTGTGCTGACAAACTTATCTAATTGAATGGCATTAGATGCAATCAGTCTCCTGTCAAGGTGACCATGTAGGACGGGTGTGAGGGCAGTGATATGAACTATCCCATCCGTCTTTCTTCTTGTGAAAATATATCTCACAATCAGCTGTTTATTTTGAGCAATTTTTTCGTGGGTGTTTCCATCAAAGTAATTCGCGTAAAAGCAAATCTCATCTAGTCCTTGCCCTAAGGGTGGAAATGTTACTAAAAATACCTCGTTTAGCCTTACAAATAAATGTTTGGTCAGATTTTTCCTAGCCGTTTGTTGGCCAACTTTCTTACCAATTGTTGAATGACTGCAGAGTTTCGTATTGACATGTTGAAGTCCAAATCTGAAAGACAGATTTCGTATATCGTCAATGTTGATAACTTAATTGTCAAATCTGTGTTTAAGCTTACCTTATTCACACGGTAATTTTGTAAGCAAAGGCGAATAATTTAAAAGTTAAATTCTCCTGGAAGTGGATTTGATTTTTTGCTAATATTGAAATGGAGTTAAGCAAAACTATTACCCTATAATTAGAAAATGAAGTGCTCAAAAATGTAGTCAATTTCCATTTTAAAGTGAATTTTGTTAAAAAAAATAAATTAGAAAACTATTCAAGGGTAAAGTGGTGGAAACGAGAGAAGAAGAACCGACTATTCATTCCTTGAGAATTTAACTCAATTTAACTAACCAAATTAGGGTCAACTTATTTTTCCTTCTTCGCTCGTGATTTCAATAGGTGGCAGATTTTTAAATTCACTTTGACACGAGACTACTTGCTCGCTGAAAGATAGAGAGAATTGAATTTAACCCCAAATCTTCGCATGACCTTAAATTGCGATGGAGAACTGTGCATGTATATATGTGTGTGTGTGTGTAATTGGAAGTGAATTCTGCACCTCATTTGAAGGAAGGCCAACTGAAGTCGATCTCTGAAAATGCACTTTATCTCTACACGCTTTCGTCCAACCCACTGACAAAATGTCACCCTTTTTGAGGTTAAAAAGATCAGTCGGTTTATCAGATGACGGGACTTACAGTCCTAAAACTTTGGAATAGGCATTCTTCTAGCCGCGAAGTCCATTCTCGATAATTTCATTAATTCGAGCTGACACGATTAGAAAAGACCTAATCTGTGCCATATGTCGTGTTTTCAAAAAAATACTCTAAGACATTTCTATAAATCTTTTACTGTGATTTCTTTAAGGTATATTAAGTTATCTTGGTCACCGAAAATCCCACTCCTTTAAGTAGGATGGAGTGCTCAGTGTTCCGGTATGATGAAAAAAGTCAAGCCTATTTTGGCAGTGTTAGCATTTATTTGGTAATCACTCTTTGGCTTGACTTGTCAAAACTTGAAGCTCTAATATTTTGCTATTGACAGGTTCCTTTGAGTACCCATTGCAAGATGAGTCCTAATGCACGTCTGCCAATTGAAATGAAAGTCATTGAGTCTTTTTATTTTCAAGTATTTATTTATCGATTATTGTGGAAAGTGTTCTAGAAGTTTGATGCAAGAGTAAAGTTGTTAGAATGAAACTACTATCAAGGGTTTTCCTGTCCCTCATACTCAGATTTTCTCTTTCTGTGTTCTTTTCAAAGCACTAACCTTATTTGGTTTATAATTTGGTGTCTTTTCATCGTTTTTTGCCCTCGTAACTTTTCTCTTGATAATTCGATGCTGTCAGCGCTACTGGTTGTCAATTTAACTGCGAAGCGCGTGTATCTTAACTAGTCTAAATTGATAAGCAACTTCTATTTCATAGCACTCAGATAGCTGATTTTCTATCTTCCTCTAATGGAGTTTTAAACTATCATGTGCTGCAATGCGGCTTAAACCAAATACACCTATCCATAAAACTCAACGTAAGTTTTGGCTTTAAAATTCGACAATAAATTTGTCTAGTGAAGCTAGACGCATTCAAATCTCTCCATTACCCTATTTGGTCAGTAAATCTGATGAAACCATAGTGTATCAGTTAGCATTAAGAACCCGCTTATAATATCCCAGGGAATATTTTTGGTTAAATGGATTGTTTGTACTTTCTGATACCCAAGTTAGCCTGTAATTGAAAGAATGCATATGCTTCCAGTGAGCGCATTAAGTGGACACTTAAGTAATCACTTCTATATCATTCTCACACCAAAGATATTTTTCATTACCGCAGTTTGTGCGAACTAATTTTGAGTCGTCTCTCAATGTGCTATTTTCGCTTTATCTCTATGCGCATATTCTTCCCATTTCCAGGTAACAATTCGTCTTGTCTTGGTCGTGTGTTTGCGGTGGATTTAGATCGCGGCGCCAATGGCACTGTTGTTTACGAGATGGCACAACCCGACTCCTTCTTCTCTGTCGACCCAGTTTCCGGACTAGTATGCCCTACTGGGGCTCCTCTCACAGAGCCGTCTGAAAACCTCATCTGGGTACGGCTTACTCCCTTTAAACTTTGGTTTACCTCGGCTTCTAAGTGATTAGTTAACAGATAAGTGAACAGTGTTAAATAATGGCAGCACATGCAGGTATTAGAGAGGTTCTTCCTAAACCAATTAGCTAACAGTTTTGCAGTCCTTCGAGGTCTTTGCTAATTATTGATTGACTCAGAAAGAAAACTCTTTAGATTCGTATAGAACTCAGCTCATTTCGTTGTAAATTTAATTATCATTTTGAAAGCATGATTTGAATCGTCATCGATCATCTATCAGAATTAAAACAACTCAAATACTAATCACGATACTCCTTATGCGCTTTATTACGTCCTCGTATAGTGCGTTAGGCAATGAATAGTTCCAATTTTTTGAGTGTTCCATTTTGCTTCTTTTTTAAGAAAGCTTAAATAATCTCCTCAGGATATGACCATTCATGTTTACCATCAAGGAAATTTAAGCAAATTAGTTGTATTCCACATAACTACTCTTTTTCTTCCTCTGCCCCTAAATTCGGAATTCGCCACTGCTATAGTGACCAATCCAGACCGCAGGAAAGAAACCTGGATCTTATTTAGAGAGAGCCTATTTTTATTTAGATAGGATTATGATAATTTGATTCCCAGGCACAGGCATGAAGGAACAGGAGTTCCGTTTACCAAAATTTCCTGAGTTCTACTCAGGTTGTCGAATATTGTCGTTTCTGTCTTATAACACTAAATACAAACATACCTATGCCAGTGATTAATTTACACCACAGCATTCCCAATTAGCTAAGGTGATAGGCTTATGAATTTAAAAAATTAACAGATCCAGATTTGCGAACCTCAGACAGTCGTCCCACTATAAGTAGATCAAAAGGAGTGCGGCATAAAATAGGCGAGATACTGTTGATGCTACTGCTGTTTGTAGTGATAAGACTAGGATATGATGCTTACATACCCGCGTATATCTAAATATTGCCTTTTTTTAGCCAGATGTCTGTCCCCATATTACCTGCCGTCTAGCTCGGTCTAGGGAGACAAATGTCTGCTGCTGCTGCTGCTGCTGCTATTATTAAGCTTATTAAATTTAGATTCTTGATAAATTCCACCCTTTTAGAGTCAAAGCTGGAGGGCTCTCATCATCAAATTTGTCCCTTTGTTTCTTTCTTTAATCTTTTGAGATACTAGCGGTTTTTAGGAAACGAAATTATTGCATCGTCTAACGCGTCTTCTCTATATTTTTCTTGTTTCAGTTTTTGGTAGTGCGATCTTAAATAATGCAGTCGCAGAATTAATACTGGGCGTCTCTAATTGTTACGTCAGTTCATTTTCTAAAACGCTCATGTGGTCCCAAAATTAATTTAAAGTACATAGTATGGTTGGCTATCCACATATTGACCTCCCCCCATTTAACAATGCCCATTATTACTTTGTAGGTAACAGCGAGTGATCATGGGTCTCCACCACGTTTTACCACTCAGCCGATAGCAATTCACATTTCTGTTCAGAAACAGATCTCAGATTTAGATCTTCCCGCTGACTACCAGATCCGATTCATTTCATTACCTCCTAAAAAGCTGACCGTCAGTCCACGAACTCCTCCAGGAACTGTTCTTTACAACATGGAAGTAGTTCTTGATACATCGCTGAACGCGAATTGGACATTCAGCTTTGCAGGTAACCTTTCCCTTTTTCCTAGTTTGAGTAGCAAATTTTATTGATGTTGCTGCATCAGCCTTCGTTAATAAAGCTCTCTCCCGGTGGTTGGTTAAACTTATTCAAATTGCTCGAAGTGTTTTTAAACGGTCTGTTGTTACAAATCCTAAACTCAATCAAAAGTGGTTGCTGATTTAATATGCGTTTGGTGTTGTATTTTTTTCGTGCAAACAATTTCGAGCTACGGCGTCTACTTCCTAATCACTCCCTCCCTCCCCNCCCCCCCCCCCCCCCACCCCACCTCACCCAAATCGACTTTAACTCTTATGGTTTTTATATATTAAGCGCAAACGCTGTTTTTCTAACTTGTCCATTTAAAGTAGCGCGTCACTTGAGCACACTTTGACCAATTAAGGAAAAGATAGAGCTATTTAATTGTGAAAAAAGTTGGATGCCTCCGCTGGGACCTTTATGAAACCTGTTTTTGTTTTAAAATGGAATTCTTCATTATATTTTATACCCAGTTCATTGAAATTAATGTTGCGCTTATTGCTCGAATTAGAATATAATTAGGTTTGAAATGAATGATTTTCGTTATTAAATTTACCGAATAAAAGGGGAGAGAGAATACGAGGATACCTTTTCTTGAGAAGTTTATTTATTTATTTCAAATGGCAGGCGTTTTGATA